TTTAATACTACTACCATTTTATTTTTTTTTTTTTAAAGAAATATCTTTCATCCTTTAATATCTTTTATATACGCTGTAATCAATATATTATTATTAAATTGAATGATTTATCATGTTAAGATGACTCTCGTATTTCCTATACAAATATTATATTATTCGATCGTTTTATCCACATAGAAAAGTAAACTTTTCATAAGAATTAGCTATATCGAGAAAAGTTTGACATACGTTAACAAGCTATATCCTGCGAAATATCCTTACATCCATATATTCTATTATACATATTATATAAATATTCTTAATCGTAAATATATTGAAGTGTTCTAAGGAAGCTTCTAAAACAAAAAAGAGATAGTCAATTAGTATAGTATAAATGTTATCAAGAAACCGGAGATTTTCTTTGAAAATTCATTACTTTACTTACTTACCTACATATCTACGTAGATATGGTTTTAGAAAAAAAATCATGACTATAATACGTCAAATTTATGCGTATTTCGTTTTAAACGAAATGGTGAATATGATATATCGAGTACGCAAGGCGATGTTAAGGAGCGCTTAGACGAAAGGAGGAGTATGCGGCGCAGGAAGAATATTTCATGTTTTACGGCGCCGGCGTCGTTGGGGCTTCACCGAGAGAAAGAAAAAGAGAGAGAGAGAGAGAGAAAGAGAGAAATAGAGAAAGAGAGAGAGAGAGAGAGAGAGAGAGTGAGCGCAGGGGGACAAAAAAGTGTCAGGCCGTCGGCTAAATCAGAGCGTGAGTGCATTAAACTCCGAATTACCACAAATAGAACCTTAACCGCACATGCCCATTATAATGGGTGCCCCCCCGCTGAAGATGTATTTACGTACTAAAACCGCCTTCGCGGCTCATGCTGAGTCGTCAGAATTAACATCTGGCCCAAAATCTTATAAGTCTTTACCCTCTCTCTCACTCGCTCGCTCTCTCGTTTTCTCACTTCATTCTTCAGTTCATTGGACCCTCCTATTTTTCTTTTTTATTTATTTTTTTTTCACTATTCCAACTTGGTTTTATATTCGCAATGGGATTTCAACGACGGCGGATGATGATTCATAATGATTTCATTACGAATGAATAAGATGTCGTAGTTGTGTACGAAGGAATAATTTTAATGATTCTTTTTTTAGAACTACAGTTGTGGATTGAACTTTTAATAATTTACAAGAAAGAAAAGAAGAAGAAAAAAGGGGGGAGAGTATTATTCGTCTAAAATTTCTTAATTACATTCTATATAACACATAATCTCGAAATTATAATATACAAAAGAAGAATATTTCCGAAAGATAAATCTTTCATTATTCTCATAGGATTTCCAAGCGATAATCACCGATGAATGATGGATAAACGAGCGTATTTGATTCTTTCTCTCTTCTTCTTTGTCTATGAACAAAAAAAAAAGAAAGAAAAAAGGGGGAAGAGAGAAATGAGAGAGAGAGAGAGAGAGAGGGGAACAAGAAGAATGACAGTGCCTCCTCGATGGCGCGACGAGGCACGAAAATCTTGCGAGTGCTTTTACACGCAAATTAGGTCTATTAGAGGCATCGTGCGTACAAAAACATTCGTGACGAAGCATCACGTTTTCCTCGTCGACGTCCACGTCCTCGTCCTCGTCCTCGTCCTCGTCCTCGTCCTCATCCAAGTCCACCCTCGACTCGAAGCGGAAAGTCTCTCCCTTCCGTGCGCCCGCGTTACGCACGTGCGTGCTTCTTTATGAATTATTAGAATTAATGATACCACACGCATCGCCTCGCCCTCTATGGGGCCAAGCGTTTCGTCCAATTGTCCTTCGACTACCAAACCCGATGACAAAAAATATTCCTAACATAATGCGTAAAAAACAAAAATGGGCTTCGGTTCTTTTTCCCTCTCGACATTATTCTTTTCTTTCTAATATTTGTTAATTCAAAATAACAACAACAAGAAGAAATAATGTTAATAACGAATCCAGTGCAACAACAAAAAAAAGAACGGAAAGAAAATTATAGTCGTATATAAATAACGAAAGTTTTGTTAATAAATTATTGACAACGAACGAAAACTTAACAACTAATAAGAGACAATGAAAAAGACTCGAATGAAACGAAGTCGAAGTGAATTGGGAACTGAGAAACGATCCGAAAAGTGGGTAAATTGTCGAACGGGGTATGTTATCGTGCGGCGTATCGTCGGTCGAGGGGGTTGAATCGGATTAAAAGCGACTCGGGCTGGAAACGGGAGAGTCTCGACGGGCTTCGATTCGAAGGAAGGGAAAGAGCAATGAAAAAGAGAAGAGAAAAGGGATCGACAAAGTTTAAGTAGAATTTAAAAGGAACCGAGGTGATGTTACTACGTCTTTGGTATTTCTTTCTTCTTATTTCTTATATCTTTGCTCGATACATATATACACACACATACATACATACACATACATACACACATAAAGGAAAGCAAATAATCTTGTAAATGAAGATCGATAAATATCTATTAGAAAAAGCCTGTATCTTAATTAAACGTTTCTAAACTTTGACTGTAACAATTAACCGGAAGAAGAAAATAATCCAAAGTATTACTTGCAATTAAGAAAACACGCTATGATATTTCCACAAATAAGTATGTGTATATATATATATATAAAAAATGAACTACTTACATTAACGGAAATGAATTCATTAAGTCTCGAGTTTCTAACGAAGAGAATAGTGTTGGAAAAGGGATAGGATAGAAAGTTCGTTGATTTCTTACACACTAATTCCGTAGCTCCAACCCCAACGATATCGCAGTCGACCTCTTCCTTTGGAATTTTCCGCCTCTGCCTCCGCACCATCCCTCCCACCACTAAACCGAATAATCTGGAGCTTCGTTTCTCTTCTCTTTTCCTCCCTAACACTCTCTCTCTCTCTCTCTCTCTCTCTCTCTCTGTCCCCCTTTTCTCTCTATCTTTCTATCTCTTTTACTCTATCGCTTTCTCTCTCTCTCTCTCTTTCTCTCTGTTTACCCCGATGGATAGAATTTCGTTCTCTTTTCTTCGCAAACCCTCTTTCAGCATCCTCTTTCTCTCTCTCTCTCTTTCCCTCGAGTTTCCCTTTTCACCGACACTCCATGGTCCCGAGACGGCAAGCAAAGAACTCTCCTACCCTCCGGCTGCTGCTCGCACTGATTTTCCACCCTCTCACCAACACCACCTTCCATCCACCAAGCCCGACAACCCCCCTTTCCCAACTCTCTCTCTCTCTCTCTCTCTCTTTCTCTTTCTCTCTCTCTCAACCACCCCACACCGTCACTCCTAGTCACGCCGCCAACACGTGCTCCTGTTTACCTCTCCAGTCACATGGTCTCGCGACGTAAGCACACCAACGAAACGGTATTTTCCTCGTCTGTTTCCATCTACCTCGAAGAGGTAGGAAAAGAAAAATCGTAAAAACTTTCGAAAGTAAATCTTTTCGCTCTAACTTCGACTATATTTCTTTTCTAGCTTTTTTCTTTTTTTTTTCGTTCCTCTCCCCAACGAGTGGCTTGCTAATTTCAATAAAAACTTCTTCTTACTTTCTTCTTTTTTTTTCTTTTTTTTTTTTTACTTAAAAGGTTACGTTTATACGTTACATCGCGAGAGTTACAATTATTATTAATCCATATTATTATTAGAATATCGCTTAGTAATTTTTTCCACAATAATCTAAAAAGCAATTTTGCAAATATTAATATCTCGAGGAAAGACACTTAATCATTTTTATAACATAGTTACTTATTAATAAAAATGATTAAAAGTATTACATAAATAAAAAGAAATATGATTGGAGTTGGATTATTATTAGTCGCGAAACGATAAAGGTTAAATAGAAAATGAAAAAAATGTAATTGATACTATGTCTAATAACACGTATATTTTGTCTACAATCTAAGCCGTATATATTGGCACGAGATTATTCTGTCTACTTTCCATATCGCCACACCTATCGCTACAATCTCTACACTATCCATTGCTACTAAAACTCCTATCTCTCATAATCACGATGATCAATGTTTTCTCGGCTCGGATAAAAAATTCATTAAAATACGTTCCCCCTTTATTCTCCATCTCTCTCTCTCTCTCTCTCTCTCTTCTTTTTCCCTTTTTTAACGTATATAGTATGTACACGTAAATACTTACACACACGTATACATAAATACGTACACACACTTACACATACATACACACATTCTTACATACATATATATATCTATCCTTGCTGAGACAAGGTTTGCGTTATATTAGCATTTCCAGGTCACATTCGCGTGGACACACGCAGTCGTGCATAATTATAGTACTAATTATTAGAACGCACCTAAGTACCCTGAGGAAATGATCGGTGACTTGGAGCGAGCAATCGGGAAGGCGGGCAAACAACTCGCATGCGGAATCGACAAAACTAAGGTTTGCGCGCTCGCGTTCCCGTTCCCGCTCTAACCAACACATTCCCGCGCTTGCTTATTCATTCACCCACTCGCTCGTTCGCTTGTTCGCTTGCTCGCTTGCTCGACCAGCAACGAGAGAGTAACTTTCTTAATTACCGAGATTAACTTAATGGTATCGGGGCGACGATTATTGCCCGCGAGCCACGCCACTCTCTAGCTTTGGCCTTCCTCGCTAACGTTCTACCATGCCAACATTGAGAAAAGTTAAAGGAGAATAAAATTGTGGCTTTTCCTATCCGAGTTCTGACTTTTTTTTTCTCTCTTTTTTCTTCTTTCTTTTTTTTTTTTTTTCCTAATCCTTACCAACTTAAACCGTTCAATTATATTTTACATACAATGTTTTTTCCTCGAGAAACAAAATATTCGTCCGATCTTTTATAAAATATTGACAGAATTCTCTATTATAATTTTTGATTTAGTGAAAATATCGATAGTTTAAATGAAATTGACATATATCATTGTCGATGATATATTTTGAATTACGATATTAATGGAATCAATGTATTATATATATAAAGAAAGTTGATACATATTGTAAGTTACTCACCTAAACTGAGCTGCGACCGCTCTACGTGGGACGTCGTCCTGACGTGAGTTGGACGAGCCTCCGTTATTTATCTCTCCCACGATGCGGGTAAAGATGATCGAAAAGGAATTCGATCCTTTCCTCTTACAATTCACGTTATCTTTTCTTTATCCTCTTCTTCTTCTTCTTTTTCTTCTTCACGAGCCTTCGACGGCGCTCGTACGATCAATGGAATCCTTCTTCGCGAATCTCGCGGTCGGTGGTGGACCGACGTCGAGGAATAAACGATTCGAGAAAATCTTCAAGTCTCGTGACATCAGCCTGTTCTAACGGCACGTTTAATTAACTGGTATAATTAATTAGTGGAAATTAGTCGATCTCACGTGACCAACGATATACAATAAGTCAGCGGTTTAATCAGCTTGCACTAGTCACTTCTGATTAAGTGAGATAGACGATCAACGCTTCCAAGAAATTTTTGTCCCCTATACCGGTGTGTGGCTTTTCTCGCTAAACTCGTAAAGAACAAAAAAAAATAGATGTATATATATATATAAGAAGACAAAATGATCGTAGCGAAACGTAATGCGCTTTTAATTATTCTATTTGTACAGCACAGCGTGCGTGCCCGTTCATATCCACAACAGTGACAATGATTACTACTACGAAGCCGACGACGACGACGACGACGACGAGAACGAGGACGACGACAACAACGAAGACGACTTGCGACGACGATTTGAAACGTTCTGAACGAAAACGTATAATTTTGAAGCAGAAAAACACTGACGTGTCCCGTCTCGTGGCGTCACGCGCTCGTCGTAATTGCGCACTGCCAACGATAATTAGGAGTCGCTTGTTAGACTTGCGAATGCGTGAGTAAGAAAGGGAAAGAGTAAGAAAAGAGAGAAAGAGAGAGAGAGAGAGAGAGAGAGAGAGAGAGAGAGAGAAGGAATAAGAATCCTCAAGTTTATCGTCACTTCGCGATTTCACTTGCAATTTTGAGCGTAACACAATTATCTTCTTGATGTAAGTAAACTTTGTTCACACCTGTCAGTCCAAGTTTAAGTTCTATTTTAAATGTATAGGGTAATCAACAAAACGGGAAGTCCAAAGTAGTAAAAGGCGTCCGAACACAAATCGATTGGTCTCACCAGTCCGCACAAAAATCACCAAGTTCCTACTAGTAATCTCGGCAACTAATCCTTTTCTTTCTTTTTTATCTTCTTTCTTTCTTTCTTTCTCGCACGTTCCGTAGGTCCGTCCCACGTGCGTCTCTATAGGTCGAGAACGCGTCGGACGCGCACCACCTGGACGTCCCTGCTCTCCTGTTCGTTCTCTATTTCGCGCACTCGTTCTTTTCACCCCGTAATCGCGAATTATTTCAACCGGTTAAAACTCTTTTCCCGATCAGTTGCCAACAAATCGTTTTCTTCGATGATACAAACGATGAATGATAACAACACACACACAATAATAGAAATATCAGCGTGAAAAAAGTGAGACAACGGTGTGTGATCGGTCGGTGGAGCACGTAGAAAAGAAAATTGTCTTCTTCTTCTTCTACTTTCCTCTTGGCTTATTCTTCTTCTTCTTCTTCTTATTCTTCTTATTCTTCTTCGTCTTCTTCCTATGAAGTTGATCCTTTGATCCCTCGAACCTTCGAAGAGATAATCTTTAATTCTGTCGATAATATTCTTCTTCTTCTTCAATGACTAGGTAGTTTCTTTCTTCTTGCCGTTGGATTCCTCTGAATCGATGATACGAAGTGGAAAATGAGCGGCGTGGTCGAACGTGCACGTTGCTCGGCGCGTGTATCACCGTGCGAATACTCGGACCTCTACCCTCACGGCTCGCAGTCTGGCTGCGTAGTGGCCCCCCGAGTAGAGTCGAGGGAAGACAAACCCGGCGTCGACACTCTCCCGCCTCAGCACTGGGGTAACACCAAGTTTCCTTGGTGGGGGAAACGGAGGCGGTCCGATGGGAGTGGTCTATGCGCGGAGGTGGGCCGCGAGTTACTCGCGAGGGCTCGTTGTTATGATTGTTATGAGTGTCCGAGCTGCCTCCCAGAGTCGTCAGCCTCAGCCAGAGGGTTCAGGGAGGATGCGGTGGAGGGTGGTACACGCGAAAGGGACCTACCTTCGTCCCTCTTCTTCCTCCCTCCGATCTATCCACCTTTTCCTACATCCAGCCCTCTCTCGATCTCTGTAATATAACCACCACGAGCTCGAACGAGCTCGTAACCGTCATGCAAATCAGCTCAACGGGGCCAAAGAGTTCGCCGCTATACGTTGCCACCAAGAAACGATACGCACACTGACATTATTTCACCTAAAAGATACTTTACAACTTTGGGATTAACTATTTCATGATCTTAAATCATGGACTATGAGATTCCGTTGAATTCTCTTGTTTAGGTCAACTGTCCTCTTTTCATCATTTGAAAGAAAAATCTGGACACGTTTTTCTTCCGTCTGACTGCAAAAATAATTTGGCGAGTTTGTCTGTTCCCTATTAGATGTTTCCTACTTCGACGGTAAAGATCAAATTCTATTGGATCTGGATGATTTATGAGAAAGATCAAGATTCTATCCATTCAGTCTGTTGATAAGACTTGACGAATTTGTCTGTCTCCTACTGGATGTATCTACTTGACCAGTTCGTCTGCCTCCTACTAGATGTATCTACTTAGCGAGTTTGTCTGTAGCCAACTAGTTATGTTTACTTGACCAGTTCGTCTATCTACTACTGGATGTTACTACTTCGCTGGAAGACTATTCTTGCCCTTCGCTTTCTTAAATGAAAACATTTTATTATTAAGGAGTGATCATCATTAAGAATTCATTCTTTGTAAGATCCTGAAGATTACAATGATACTGTTAAATAGATGCAGTGTACTAAGATGACTCATAGAACATCTGTTTATTTTCCTAATTTTAACAAATGATTCGTGTTTCTACATTTCCAGAAATTACTTATGATAACAGAACTATGCAAAAACTAGTTGATATGAATTAAGAGGAACCGTCGTCTATCGATCTTCAACTTCGCATCCTAGGGAGACTTAGTACATGCAAACTTTACTACGTTCGCACTTTAACCCTTCGAACGATGAACCACCCTCGTCGATGGCAATGACACTGCACGCACCCTCGGTGTTTCAACGTTGTCCCCTAAATTCTCTAACATCGACCCCGAACGTATTTCTCTGTGATTTTATCTCTTGACTCAGAATTTAGATCTAACGGAGATGGCTCCCCGCCTTCCCCCTCCCTCCCATCTTTATATGGAAACATTCATAAAACTGATATTACCACAGCGAATTATTATAATTAATTAATTAAGAACTAAGTAATAAGATTTTTCTTTCCATTTTTTAATCTCAAATCTTAAGATAACGAAGCCTAATGAAATTTGAAGATAACGTAATTAAGTTAAAAAAGGAATAACGCGCGTCGTCCTTTCCTATCCGATCTTAACAAAAGTTGCTTATAAAAATGAAGGCGAAAGAAAAGGAAAGTACTTTTGGGTTAAAGGCAACAATCTTCGAAGGTAATAGGACACGGATCGAAGAAGAAGTTTTACAGAAAATATAGAAGGGAAATGAATGAATACTCTCGTCCTTTTTCCTCACGGGGACCACGTGCTTTTCACATATACCGGAGAGGTAGGAGGTACAGCCAGCTGGTGGTTGAAGTTGTAGGAGTCGGCAGGATGTGGGTCTCCGCTTACTCTCTCTCACTCTTTTACCTCTCTTTTCTCTCCCTTGCACACGCTCTTTCCGTTCATCCTGTATACTCTCTTTCTCTTTCTCTCCCTCTTCGTCTAACTCTCTTATCCTCCCTTCCTCTTTCACTCGGCGTCTCTTTTCCCTTCACCGATGTCAGCGAGACTTTCCCTCTTTCACGGTCGACCCTCTATCCTTCTCTTTCTCTCTCTCTCTCTCTCTCTTTCTCCCTCGTACACTCTGAAAGCCTTTCTCACTCTAACTCCTACGTTTCTCGCTTCCTTCGTCTCTCTCTTGTTCCTCTAGCGTAGCACGCCGAGAACTCACCCCCTAAAGCTCGGCAGGTGCTCCGTCTTTCTCCCCCGTCCCACCGGATCGATTAAAACTACAAAGTGTTGCCTCTCCATCCGTTGGTACGCTCATTCGTGGTCGACTACATTGCTCCGGCACTTTCTACCGGCACTGGGTTACCAACTCTTTTCCCACCACCTTCTCTACCTACCTCACCCTCACTCACCCTCAATCTCTCTTTCTTTTTCTTTTTACTTTTCCTTTTCTCTTTCTTTTTCTCTTTCTTTTTCTTTTTCTTTTTCTTTCTCTTTTTTCTCGCAAACCTTCCCGATGCCTTTTTTCATTCTTTTATCGGAGGATCCCCGTATTCATGGCCGCTCGCTTCGCTTCCTGATAATCCCCGCGTAAAGCTCCTACGCTTCCCCCGACGGGATTCGTCTCGTACGCAAGAGACGTGGCTGACCCTCCATCGCTATCGTTATTCTACCTTCTCGTTCGGGATTTTCTTGACACTTTATTGTCCCGTCCGATCAGTCGAGTAGAAAAGTAGAAACCTGTAGATTCTTTCGTTCAAAGTCACAAGCGAATACTTTCTATTTTCTTTCATTGAAAGTTAAATCGCGTCAAAATCCCTATTTTATCCGACCACGTATATTTCTTTTATCCCTTTCTTTCTTACTTATTGATACTATGTTTAACAAGTTACCAGACACATATATATCCTTTTACTTTTATTTTATTTTCCAATTTATACAATTGTCTTGCATCAAATAAACGTTATAAAAAAAAAAAAAAAAAATAAAGAAATTAAGAAATACAAAGAAATAAAATTTTACGCAATAAACGTTTGTTTCCTCTCTCTCTCGTGCAAACGTTTGTTTTTCATTCAAGGCTACGACTTTCGTGGATGATCAAGATGAAAAAAGCTGTTGAAGAAAAGAATGTCTTTTTTAAGATTGCTGACTGGTAAGGTTAAACCTTACGTCTCGGTGACTTAAAGGACGAAAAGGTCCCGCGGCCACTACGCGGCCTTCGCGTAGTAGAACGCATAGTAGACGCGAAGATTAGTGGGGTCGGGTGAAAGGGCTGAAGGGCTCAGGCGCGATTATATCCCCGGTCTCCCGTCAGGATCTGTCTCCCTCTCGGCGGTGGGGCCCCGTTTCGCCCGCCGCTTTTAAAAGTCCCTTAGAACTTGGGACTAATAACAGAGGCTGCGGAAGAGTCGAGGCGTCTTTACGAGCGTCTCTTCTCAGAAGTATAAACCCGAAGTGGGCCCGAGGTATCGTCTTTCTTCTCATTCCTACGTCTTTCCCTTCCCTTTCTCTCACAATCTCTTTCTTTCTCTTTCTCTTTCTCTTTCTCTTTCTCTTCTTGACTCTTTTTTTCACGACCGTGCGCCATCCTACTACGGTCGGACTTTTGCGAGGGGTTTAATTAATGCGAGGCGATGAAGAAGGAAGAAGGCCCAACAAAGTTGCTCAAATGATCGCCACTCTTTTAAGTATCTTTAGTTTCGGCTAAATGATGAAAGCTGAAGAAGATACAAGAAGAAAGATCATGAAGATACGCGAAATTGTAAGCGAATACTCGAATAGATATATCTAACGTAAATTAGAAAGGATGACCGATAATAAATATATCAAGTTTATATTTTTGTAGAAAAAAAAAGAAACAAAAAGAAATTATGTGCGTGAAATAATAGATTAAATTACACAATGATGTTTTTTCTTTTTCTTTTTTGTTTTTTTAGCAAAGAAGTGAAATAAATAAAATGGAATGTCAAGAAGTTAACTGAGGTGTTCTGATTCATTGATTAAACAATAATCAAAGTTGGTATGTTCTTATTGAGATATTGACTCTATAATGTTAAATTGGTTAAGTTTCTGATGAGAACCGGCAGGTCCAGTAAAGAAGAGAAAAGATCAGACGATTCTTCGCGTGACTATAATAATGATCGGGAAGTTCTCGAAAGAAGACCGAAGGACTGATCTGAAAAGTATGTCCCACATGATAGTTGTTTTATGCCGTGCGAAAGGAAGGAAAGCAGGTGTTCGGTGAAGATAATGTTCGAAGATGAGTACGGTCGCCGCGAAGGAAATGCGACGAACGAAATAATCTCAAGTGGAATCTCTTTGTTATTAGTTTCCCATTGATCGATAATTTCGCGCTACATTGTCGGGTAATAACAAGTTGCGGAAACTTTTGTGGTAGTCGGTACCACCGCCGCGTGATCCTGGAAATTAACTTCGCGCTCGACCCCTTTTCTTCGTTTGTCGCTGAAGAATGAACAAAAAACAAAATAAAGGAATAAAAAGAACGGAACAATAAGTATTTAGAGTTTCAACCGATTCAGCGAGTAATTACGAAGGTGCGAAAATTATTGTGCAAATATCTCCATTAAAACGTACTAAAATTTTTCTCAAAAATTGTCTCCATTAATATTCGACGATAACTTAACTTAATTTCGTATCGATTAGAATTCATTAATTAAAATGAAATTCTACGATAACTTTCTAGCAAATTGAACATCCCATAGTAGCTAAAAAACTTATTCGTAAAATAATATAGTTATCCCATTTACTCTTTTTATCCTATTCTTTAAATGCGTCACACCTATGAAATAATACGTCGTTGACACGCAGGATGTAAAATCCGAGTGGGCCATTGATCGAACTAAAATATCACATCCCATCACACGAGTTCGTGCTCGTATTACCCTCGTACCACCCTAGGAAAATATACGTACATACCCACACGCACACACGCGCGCGTACACACACAGAAAAAGACATAGACACACATAGAGAAAATATATGAGAAACACGTAGGTACATATATCCTTTGGACGACGAAACGTAATATTCCTCCCGCATCCTCAGTTCTGTGCGAAATGCGAAAACCAAACGACGATGACACTCACCGCGAACGATGATTTCCTGGCTGGGTGAACGCGTTCGAGTAATTTCACGATCCTTAGAAGCTTTCCCGTTTGTCGTCGTCACCGTTGTCGCCACCGTGACCGTTGTCGTTCCCATCGGATCGAGATCGACTCTAACCGCGATTCTCGGCATCGATATCGATCGACTAACGAACGAAAAGTTTCGGACGACGGAG